GAAATCCACTGGTCCAGCCGCTGTGTGACAGTGGATGCCTGTGATTGGACCATGATGACCCTCAAACATCTCACTGATCCCTGCACGACTGCTCACACACACACACACACACACACACACACACACACACAAACAAACATACATACATACACACAAACAAAAACACACACACACAGAAACATAAACACATAAATACCAACACGCATAAACATGCACACATGTATGGCATGCAAACACACGTAAACATACACACACGTACAGAAACAAACACACACAGACATAAAAACACACACAAAAACGCAAACACACACACCCACACAAACACACAGACACAGAGAATCAAACACAAAAACACACACACACACACACACACACACACACACACACACACACATAAGACACAAACACACACAAAAAGAAACACAAACACACATACAAACACACAGATATGCATGCAATACACACAGAAACATGCACAGATGCAACCAAACATACACAAACACAGAAACAAACACACACACACACACAAACACACACATAAAATCAAACAAAAAAGACACAAGCAGAAACACACAGAAAAACATACACAAACACACACAAGCATAAACAAACATATAGACACAAACACACACACGCACATATACAGATATACAAACACAGACATATATACAAACACGGACACACATATGCATGCAAACACACACAGAAACATGCACAGACGCAAGCAAACACAAACAGAGAAACACGGACACACACACACACACACACACACACACACACACACACACACACAAAGATCCAAAAACACATACACAGAAATGCAAACACACACAAAAAAATCAAACATGCACACAAAAACACACACAGGCATAAACACACAGACAGAAACATATACACACATACAAACACACACACATACATAAAAACAAACACGCGCACACACATATGCATGTAAACACAGAAAGACACACACAAATATACACAAACACAGAAACAAACACACACACACAGAAATGCAAACACACACAATAAAACAAACATACACACAAAAACACACACAAACATAAACACACACACAAACACACATAGAAAAGCACACAAACAAACACACACACAGCCACAGAAACGCAAACACACACAAAAACACACCCACACAAACACACATACATGCGCACACACAGACACACACACACAATCACAACCACACAAACACAGAAAGAGTTTTACCCATCAGCATATTTCCAGTAGTCAGTTCACACTCCACGTCAACTGACACACACGCACACTGCTGAGTGTGTGAGCTCATTACAGTGAGAGGTAAACAGTGTGTGAGAGACGCTGAGTGTGTGTGAGGAGGATGAGATAATCACAGCATCACAGATCAAGAGGAAACATTCACTCCGTCAGATCATCACAGCACACACAAACACTACATCCCATTCATAAACACACACACACACACACACACACACACACACACACACACACACACACACACACACACACACACACACACACATATTCATGTTTAACAATATATAACATCCTATATATCGTCACCTTAGAATTATAGGGTTCTATCTGTGTTCTAAATGATTTTGAGATACTGAGCTTCAAAGATTTTGCATTCCATAAAGCAAACAACGTGTGTAACAGTTCTCTTTCATACATTAACAGGACAGAGACCCTAAGGCTTCTCTAAATGTAAATTATAAAAGTTCTTTTACATTTGCAAATTGGAGTAAATAAACCACGGTAAATGCAGATAGAACCTTCTCATTCTGAAACGTCATTTTCCACTTGGAATTATAAGGTTCTACCTGGCAGATCATTCATTGAAGCATTACTTTTCAAGACATACAACCAAAAATGTATAAGTTGGTGTTGTACCTGTGTTGATGCTTGAGAAAGTTACAGTTTTGCTTTTGTTGTGGAAAAAAGATTCTGGTCTGCAAAAATATTCTAAGTCTCCAAGTCAAACTTTTCAAAAAATGACAAAGTCTGAGATCTCCGAAGTCTTCTCCGCTAATGGGATCTTAAATCTCTCAGGTGCCCGCCACCAATAGAATCTCATGGTCTTTCAGGGGTCTTACCCATGTCCAGTTAAGGTCTTTCCTTCCTGTTTCAAAAGTGATGACTCAGCCAAAAAACAATGCTCAACAATATATCTTGTTCACTGTCCACTGAACTGTCAACTGTAAGTTCAGCTGAAGTTCATAAGTGCTCATAATTCTTTAGATGTCAGTACAAGTGAGTGTGGGTGCACGTGCAGGTGTGCTTTATCATGAGTTACAGAACAGAACGCAGGTCTCCTTTTCGCCTTGCTTCCATAAATCAACCCTCATTGTGACATTAATACTGCTCTTCTAATTTATCTTCTCATCTCTGACTGCATTTGCACAGAATGACTTTTTTATTTACCAAAGCACACATACCTGATAAAAATGCCACAGGTATGGGTAATAATATAATAGATAATAATACTGAAATCACTCAAAAAAGCATATAAATGAGAGTAATACATTCGTCAGAAATTCATCAAGACACAATGATTTCCCCAACACTTTCTATAACACGTATTTGTGTTTTAGAATGAATATTATTTCTTGTATACAAATCATACAAGGCTGTGCTAAACATTTTTTTCCAGTCCAGAAGTTAATTTTATCTAATTAATTTGTTAATATTTATTACATTTTATGCTTTTTGAATTATTAAAAAAAACTATGCTGATTGAATTATGTTTATTGAACTATATGCCCCATAAATAAAAATTAAGTATTTGCCCTTCAAGGCTAAATATTAAATTTAAAGACTTTAAAAGAAACAGATGATGGTCAAATGAGTTTTCTGAAAAGCGTTTCACTGACTATATGTAAACAAATAAATATATTTATACAAATAAATATAAATATATAATATACAGTATTTCCCAGAGATGGGTTGCAGCTGGAAGGGCATCCGCTGCGTAAAACATATGCTTGATAAGTTGGCGGTTCATTCCGCTGTGGTGACCCCAGATTAATAACGGTACTAAATGGAAACGAAAATGAATGAATGAAAGAATGGATCACAATGTCAAGAAGTGCTTCTAAATCATCACATTTGCACACCTCTCAATTTTGTGTGGTGCGGCATTTTTATTCAACTCTGATTTCATGTGATTTTGTCTTTCTGGTCTGTCCCGCTGTCCATGGAGCAGTCCGGCGAAATGACAAAGAAAGCTGATCCTGATTGGTCCTCGTGCGTGCTTTGAAAATGCTGATTGGCTCACAGAAAGAATCTTATAAAGCGAAGCTAGAGTTCAACTTTGTAGATAAACCATTTTTGTTTTTAAATAAAAAGTCTTAAAATGTAAACAACTTATAAAAAAAACATCACATAATGTAAATAAGTTGTCATTTAATAAGAATATGTCAATAACTCAATTTTGACAAAAATGTCAGACAGAACCTTATAATTCTAAGGTGTTGATATAGTAACACTTCAGTTTCAGTCACAATTCACGCTATTTACTACTGGCTTATTAGCTGCATATTATTAAAATATTAACACAGCCCTCCTGTGATTTTATTCCCATATTATGTTTATCAGAGTAAGGACATTTTCACAGTATTTCCTATTATATTTTTTCTTCAGGAGAAAGTCTTATTTCGGCTACAATGACAGCAGTTTTTTTTTTTTTAAACCATTTTAAGATCAATATTATTACCCCCCTTAAGCCAGGGGTGTCCAAACTCGTCCATGTAGTGCCGGTGTCCTGCATATTTTATTTCCAACCCCAATTAAACACACCTGAACCAGCTAATCAAGCTCTTTCTAGGTATACTAGAAACACTCAGGGAGGTGTGTTGAAGTCTGGACACCCCTGGCTTAAGCAATATTTCTCGATTAATTTTTAATTGATAATTAAAATTAATAATTTAGTATTAAATTAATAAATTAATAATTTTATTGACCCCTTTTTTTTGATTGTCTACTGAACAAACCATCGTTATACAGTGACTTGCCTAATTAACCTAGTTAAGCCTTTAAGGTTGCATTAACACTTGGTTCAGTTGCCTGGACCGTACCCAAGTTCGATTGTCTCCCATTGCCGCCTTCTTGACTGGTTTGTTTACACCATCTTTTTTCCTTCTGAACCCCAGTACGCTTGCGTCATCAAGCAATGCCAGGTGATGAACTCGAAAGCAAAGCGCCAAAATGGAAAGACGTCCGCACATCGCGGTCGTTCTGCTTTTACTGAATCTTTTGGTTTTGGACATAAAGAAAGTGTCTCTATCTGCAGCGAAATATTCTAAACGTTCAGAAGTGCTAGTGTAAAAAAGGCTAAATGTCACTTTAAGCTGAATACTAGCATCTTAAAAAAAACCTCTAGTCAAATACTATTCACTGTCATCATGGCAAAGATAAAAGAAATCAGTTATTAGGAATGAGTTATTAAAACTATTACGATTAGAAATGCATCTTTCTCTAATTCAACAGAAATTGGGGGGAAAATATACAGAAGGGCTAATAATTCTGACTTCAACTGTACGTTGTTCATTGCGTTGCATTTTACCTGCCGTGTCGACTGGCTGTGTACACGGATCCATCCTCACTTCCCACCACAAAGTTATTAACGTCCCCCAGAGGAAAGGACATGGAGGTGACTGCAACCGATTTAGACTGCTTAAACACCAGCTCCATACTGTCCTGTACACACACACACACACACACACACACACACACACACACACACACACACACACACACACACACACACACAAACAAACATATATACATACACACAAACAAAAACACACACACACACACAGAAACATAAACACACACACACACACATGTCATGAACACCACGGCCAATAGCCTCACTCAAGGCACAATATAAATTGAGACAGCGTTTTACCAATCATTAACATCTGACACTGCGGCTTGGCTTTGGTTTTTGGAAACTCGAGGCTGAGCAGCAGGAAAGAACTTGTGGTTCTCGATGGGGCTTTTTTGTGATTTTGAAGCCAGCAAATCACTTCTCTTGGCACTTCGTTTTTTTTTTTTTTTTACTGTTTGAGTAAGCAAGTCTTTAAAGGTTCACAAAACCCTTGAGTACTTTTTTTTGAGATTTTAACAGATTTTTGTGTGTTGAGCATCAGTGAAGACAATGTTAGCACCTGTCAGCTTTGATTGTGGGGATTGATTGTGAGCTTTTATTAGCTAATTTCATATTCCGGGTTTAAAATGATTTTTGGGGCGGAGCAAAATCGGTGATGTAACGCAAAACTGCAAGTGCAAAGATGACGCGCCGGTTTCTCATTATTATTCATAGCTGAGTTTTCTTATCCTATGAGAAGAGCCGGCTTCCTAATTATTCATGACTGCACATGCTTTCTGAAGGCAAGGCAGACCTGCCAGTGCCAAGCTGTGAGACACGTTGATGACAGGGTGAGATGCGTCCACGGACGCACGGCACACAGTTTTTACCTGTTCATGAAGGGTCGCATGTGTTTGTTTCCATGATCCACAAGGTTTGTTGCATGTTTTTCCCCGCGATGCTGTCAAAGCTGATACAGCAAAGCTGTTTGTGTGCAGCCAGCATTTTGTCGGGACAGCAGTACGAGAATTGGAGAATGGCAGACATTGCTTTAATCAGGGCTTCGTTCACATTTAGACACATCGCCGTGCTGCTGTGTTCGCCTAAACCCTCCAGATTACCAACAGGGCTAATGGATAAAATAGACAGGGCAAGAGACCTGCTGCACTGAGTCTGCATTCAGACCCGGGGATTGAAGGAGAAGTCCTCATTTATAGTGTTTTTATGAACACGATTATCTTTATATTCATATAAATTGTCAACCTGGGCTCATTGTGGAAACGTAGCCCCGAGGACGTTTCTGCGGACCGCGATTTACGTCCCGGGAGATACGTATTCGAGTGTTTTTTGTTTTTGCGGACACACGAGAGGCCGCTGTGCACGTTTTTTCGTGTCTCGGGAGCGCGCGCCATTCGCGCCCGCGCTGTTCTCGCGCGAAATGCCACCGGAACGGCCGACCCAGGCGCCCTCCTCTTCCTCCTCCTCCTCCTTCCCTAAACCCAAGAGACGGTTTGTAAAAGCAGTCCAGAAAAAAAAAAAAAAGCAAAAGCCTTCGTCTTCGATTTCGACCGCGTTTTCGGATCCCGCCCATTCTCGCCCTTATTTTTCGGATTCTGTTTTTCATCTTACCTGATTTCCGGAACCGATGTTCCCCGGACTCGATCCCGGTCGTCGTTCCCGCGGCCGGCTCCTCCTCCTCCTTCTCTGGGGTCTCCGCTCCGCTGACGCAACGCTGTGAGCTAAGCGGACAAACTGGTTGCATCGGGAAAGCCCTCCACTCTGAGGCGAGCCATCGGCCGGCGAGCGCGAAGAGGAGGAGCGGAGCGGCGCCACACCGCCCCGCAGCGTTCGCTCGAAAAAAACTAAACGCGGCCTTATGTACCTCCGGCCACGTAAATCGCGGTCTTCAGAAACGTCCGCGGGGCTATGTTTCCAGAATGAGCTTGGGTTGTAAATTGTGGTTATCTGTATAGGCATTAAATTACTGTTTATTACTTTGTATTTAACTTTATAAACTATAAACTCATCGTTCTCCTCACGGTTTGTGTCTCATTTTGTGAACCGATTGACAACAGTTGTTCGCTCCCCTCCTTCTCCCCTGCTCTGCTGGCCACACCCACTCCTGCCATTTGCTCGCAGAGCTCCACGCCCATTATGATGCATCTTTTGAAAAAATTCTGAGGTGGACCTGAACCGAAAGTGGCGGGTGTCATGTCAAAACTGCTTGATTTTTGATTGTGCTGGTTATCAGAGTCCTTATAAAAAATGCAACACATTTCAGAATATTAGTTACTGTCATTTAAATGTAATTAATACATTACCCATGTCCAAACAACATGAAACAGTGTGACACACAAAAAATATATCTTTTCCATCATGAAAGGAAATTTTGTCCCAACCATCAGTTTCTATTTTACGCGACATTGCACCAAAAATATGCTGCAGCATAAACTACTATAACAATGATTATCCTCAGGTACTGATTACGGGCTTTATTCAATGTTAGATGCTACCAATCTGAGTTTAAATAACAGTTTATGAAAGAAGCAGCAGAGAGTTCACCTCTTGAAAATAAAATAACTAGCAGACAGTTTGAAAATGAAAGGCAGAACTGTGACTTCAACCACATCAGTCACTCAGTGGCCTATTAATAACGTTAAAGAGCTTTAATATGTATTAATTAGCTTAAAAGCTTTCGCCATTTCGTTGGGAGTGCAGAGGCCGGTTTTTAAATGTTTCTTTGATGTTGTGTTGTGTTCGGTGTAGACAGCCAAATTGCTTATCGCGTCACATGTTGTTAGAACACTGTGTCACATTATTACGGTCTCTAAAATGTAATGAGTTACAAAACTTTGTATTACTTTTAAGTTGCTTTCATCAAAATAAACACCGAAGAGCATGTCTACCTTTCCAAACAAGGGGGAAAGCCCTGTCCACTGCTGAAAATCTCTCCGTCATTAGCACAGGACGTTAGTCTATGCTGGCACTCAAGCATTTGTAGCTCCGCCCTCTTTTGAAAAATCCCACAATCTCATTTGAATTTAAAGTGACAGTCACCAAAATGAAGTTCAACGTCTAAAAGGGTCAGTTTCAAAGAGTTATAAAATATTATTTGTGTGTTTATTTGAGTTAAAACTTCACCCACACATTATAGAGACACAATTAGAGACTTATTTTAAATCTTGTAAACGGGCATAATAAGTCACCTTTAAATGTGTTATAATATTACAAAAGCATCATTAGTTTATATATATATATATACACACACACACACATATATATATATATATATATACACACACATGTATGTATATATGCTTTAAAAGAATATACAAATACAATCACAATATGTTTGTAATGCATTACTCCCAACTCCCACCAGTGTGTTAGATTTTGTATCAGAGCATTATGGGTACCTGTGGTTGAGACAGCATGTCCAGACTCCAGGAGCACATCTTTCCATCAGTAGAGATGCTGATGAGGTTATGAGCGTTCTGGGTGCCAACCACATTCACACAGTACACGGGGTGCTGGACGGAGTAACACAACAGTTAGGTAAGGGTGGAAAAATAAATTCTATTTGTGTGTGTGTGTGTGTGTGTGTGATGATGCCATGTACCGTGTGTGCAGCAGCGGACAGAGGCGTCCTCTGGACAGGAGTGCGTCTGTTGCTTCTGTTGTCCCACAGGACGATCTGTCCTGAGTAAGTGCCACCGACAACCAGATTAGGATGGAACTTTGCAAATGCTGCAGACATGACTGCAGACTAGAGGAGAGAGCAAGAAAGACATTTAATTAAAACAATAAAAAATAAAACAATGTTTTTAGCTGTTGTACTTTACAATGAAACACCAAAGCACATGTTTTGAGCTGTTGACAGTGGTATATGTGTCCCACACTGCTAAAAACACTATTAGGACACCTATATTTCAATAAAAAGTGTAAATAAGTTGTTTTTGCGTTATTTCAAGCAAATTCGTACTTCCGGTTTGAAACAAATTTTTGAAGCTGCGTCACGGTCATGACATAACAGTGTGTATTCCAGCGTGCAGACTGGACGCCTGTACCAGAGTATGTCTTATTACGTCTTACAGTGTGCTGCATTAATGCATGAGTAAAGCTTGGTTCAATCCAATCAGCGCGCTCTATTGAGCAACTTCATTAATATTCATTACTGTCACAGTGTTTAGACGACAGAGACGCCATGTTGTGTTGGCAAAACAAGCGTGAAGTGTTGCTTTTATAGTGTGCTGCAGTTCAGTTTTGTTTTCATTTTCTCTCTGTGAGAGTGCAGCTGGAGTCACGTGTGGATTAACAGTGTACGCGACGCTCGACAACAATAACTTACGTGTCTAAGAAGGATTATTGTTTACCTGAGAGCTGTTCTCATCTGCAAACGCTGAGATCCGGATTCACTTGTAGTGTCTTCTTAATAAAGACGCGGCTCTAGTTGCTGGTGATTGTTCTGTCTCTACAGATTTGGTAAGTGAGTGACCAGTGCTCTTTGTTTATTCAGTTTGTTCGTATCGAACTAAGTTAACTATTGCACTGAGTGTAAACACGTTAGCACCACAACCAAACTTTAACCTTGTGTAGGATTTTACCACATTTTGTGACCGGAATAACACACGCGGCTTTCTGACGCTACCTGCCGTGTGCATCTAAGTTTCCGGGAAATGCAGAGTTTTTTTTTCTCTCATTCGCCATGCAGTATCAAACATTGCATGAAAAATACACGCTTAGAGCAGTTCTTCGAATCAAATATCTCGTTTGTCGCGAGGGACATGAAGTGAATTCCCTGAATGAAAGAGCCAAACTGCAGTTAAAGTCCACCATTTAATAATTTGGCAAATAATTTAACTACAGATGTCCATGTAAACACAGTTACTTTCTCCCCTGTGTGTGTGTTTTGACTCTGAAAGTCAGTGCCTGCTCAAATAGACACTCCCACACCAAGCCACTTTTCTTTCTCCGACACTCCCCCCTAAACAGAGCTGGACACGCCCACTTTTCTGACTTTTTCCAAAGTACAGGAGTGAAAACACCCTGCTGAAACGAGGAGGTTTCATGGCCCTTTAACGTCTTTGTACAAGCAATTTTTTAATCATGGCACATAAAAAGGCACAATATGTACGATTTGTGTTTATTTAAATATCCAAAGAACACAAGAACAGTGTTATTTATAGCTATTATATACATATATAAATAGAATTATTAGCCCTCCTGAATTATCAGACCCCCCCTGCATATTTTTTTCTTTAATTTCTGTTTAATGGAAAGGTCGTGAAGCGCTAGATGACGGCAGGCATATGTAGCTGTGAAGCGTTGCTGAAGATAAATATCAAATATCTGGGTTCTCAGAAGTCTGCAAGTCTGTTTTTACCAGCTTAACTGCAAATATAGTGTTGCTATACGGGACAATTAGTGTTTGGACAACAACAAAAAAAACTTTGAAGAGCATAACGCTATTAAAGCATGGCGAAAAACACCTACACCTGAGCTGGCTTTGTTGTTTTCTTGCTGCTGTGGCCTACCTGCATGGCATGCTTATTTTAAATACTGTTGTTCAAGTCCCAAGACATGGTCTTGCCTTGAGGGAACAGCTGAACTGGACTACCAGGACTGGATGTATGGCAGGGGTGTTGGAGCAGTATCCTGGCAGATTACTACTACAATGCATGAGGTACAGCAGCCGTCTCGTCAGTTGTTTAGGATTGTATTAAGTATACCCTGCACTAATGTAACTGTAGCCCCTGTCGGGGGACTCGGTGAGGGCGGCGATGGTTCCAGATGCATTGAGTGATGCACACGGACTCAGGCTTCCCTTACACTAATACGCTTTAGTTTTAAAACGTGAAAGTTTTGCTACCGTAATGCCTTCCATCCACACTACGCCAGAGATTTCAAGCACTGTAAACAGAGCTTTTTGAAAACGTTTTCATATTTAAATGCTGCTCATGCCCCATACACACGGGGCGTCTCTGTGAATGGGTGATGTCAGGCATTGCCAAACTGCAATGTGGATAGGTCAGTGCCACTTCAGTGGCGTTGTTCGCTGCAGAAGGTGGGATATTCTCAACTTTTCAAGCACCAACGGATGTGTCAGCCAATTAGATTGCTTTATGCAAATGCAAATACACCAGCCCAGACAGTTGTCGATTACAGACTAACTTTGTTGGCTGATGCTGCTATGATGATTGCGTACGCCTCAACTTCATACATGTCCTCTGTCAAGCGTTAATACTGAAGCCCCATGTGAATCGGGCGAGCTGGTGTATTTGCATAAAGCAATTGATTGGCTGACGCCTCCATTGCCGCTTGAAAAGTTGAGAAATTCCCAACTCCTGCAGCAAACAACGCCACTGAAAAAGCGCCGACGAATCCACAACGCAGTTCGGCAACACTTGACGTCACCCATTCAAAGTGACATCCAGCAGGATAACGCGCCACATCTGAAAGCGTGCATCATCTCAGACTGGTTTCTTGAACATGACAATGAGTTCACTGTACTCAAAAGGCCTCAGATCTCAATCCAATAGAGCAGCTTTGGGATGTTGTGAAACGGGAGATCAACATCATGGATGTGCAGCCGACAAATCTGCAGCAACTGCGTGATGCTATCTCAATTTTCTTTGTTGAATCTACGCCCCCAAAGGATTAAGCAGTTCTGAAGGCAAACGTGGTCCAACCCGGTACTAGAAAGGTGTACCTAATATAGTGGCCGGTGGTTGTATAAATCCACAATAAAGTGTCAAAGTAGAGTCTGATGTAAAAGAATAATGAAGACCCAACCCAACAATGCTGATTTTTTGTTATTTGCTAAAAAAGCAGAAAAACACACTCGCCACTGGGGAAAGTTTCTCTGCCCCAACACACTTAGCTATGAGATGGAAAAAATTACAAGTTCACACCTCTGAGTGTGTGTGTGTGTGTGGATGAATGAGCAGTTTTCCGCATCTCTGTGCATGTATGTGAGTGTGTGTGTGTGTGTGTGTGTGTGTGTGTGTGTGTGTGTGTGTGTGTGTGTCGGTTCCTTAGGGCAGCACATGTGGTTCTACTCAGGCTGTCCACAGCGCATCCCCTCAGGCCAAACACACAGCAACACTTCACAAACACACAAGCAAACACTGACAAAACCTTCTGAGAGAAAAAGCCATGATCACGCAATGATTAGTTTTAATAATTTCAATTTTTAGTTTTAATAATTAGTTTTAATAATCGCAAGAACGCGATGGAGATGTGCAGCGAGGAGACATCTGATAACTAAGATGAGCTAATAACCGCAAAAAATGCCTGACTTAAGCAGGATTTGGAGCAGCTTTCTAGCACGCACCATCATAGTGGTAAAATACGCATCTGAGCAATTTATTAAGCAGTAAAATTAGCCTGGGGAATAATGTTGCATTATTACAGAAATAAAAGTGTTGACTGCATTTGTTTTGCACTAAAATCAGTCAGTGATAATGTCGCATTGTTTTTGCAATGTGTTTTAAGCTGTCGGAACATATATAACAATACAATGTAATATAACATAATTTAATAATACAATATATTTTAATATAATAATAAAATATAATAATAGAATATAAGATATAATATACAATAATTTAATATAATAGTATATAATATAATATAAATATTAAATATATAATAATATAATTTAGATATTATAATTATAATAATATAAATTCTATCAATACTTAAAACATAAAATAGTTCTAAAAACAGAAATAATTTAATTAATTTGATTAGAATTGAATCACCGATATTATAATATTAAATTAAATCTGTTTGATTACATTTGAATTACCGGAATCATAATTTATATAAAACTGATAAGAATCTAATTACCGGAATATTAAAGTTTATATAAAAGAGGGCGTGACTTAAACTGGAAGTGCCGCCTTAAAGGGAGGGGCTACTATCCATCAAACTTTTTGACAGGTAGTCCCCCATATATCTCTCTATGTCATCAGAAGTGACTAGTCAACGTCAAGTCGTTCAACCCCCAGTGTGCATGTACCTTTTATTACTGATGTTGTGGGGACCAAATGTGTCCACAATTATAGCAATTTCAGTAAATTAGGTCATTTTTTGGTACCCATGAAGAAAACAGCTCATAAATCACACAGAATGAATTGTTTTAAAATTTTTTGCTTCCTGTGAGGTTTGGGTTTAGGGGTAGGGGGAGAGAATATACATTTTGTACTCTAAAAAAAACATCACGTGTATGAGAAGTCCCCATAAGGATAGCAGTACAAGTGTATGTATGAACACCAACAGAGTGAAATCACTGTGCAAAGAAATGAGAGAGAGACAGAAAGATTCATAAAAAGAACTCTTCAGCCCACCCATGCGATCTCTTGCCTGTGTGAAGGTGTTTGTATATGACAATCATGTTTACTTGAAGAGGTGTGTGTAGAGCGAGGAGTGAGTCAGTGCTGATTGAAAGCAGGTGTGTGTGCGTACCTGACAGTGGAAGACATATTCCGGTGTGGCCTTCTTGTACTTCATGTTCCAGACCAAAGCCACTCCGTCAGGCTCATGCGGAGCTTCCTCGTTGTTGTTGTAAGAGGCAACCAGCAACTCTGGATACTGTGAACACATGTGTAGAGCTCAGGAAAACAACACCTCTAGCACACAGGAAAAACTCTGAACTGCTGGCTTCCAGCTCATCCTGGCCAAGAGTCACCCACCTACATTATACACTAATATTTGTCTTTTTGTATTGTTACAGATATGTTAGAAAAAGTCAAATAATTGACATTGTGCAGATTTAAATTTGTTAATAAAAATAGTAATTGAAAATGCAAACTAAATACTAACAAAATGTTCATGTCTCACTGTTTTAAAGGGGATCTATTATGCAAAAATCACTTTTATATGTGGTTTAAACAGTTGTGTTGCAACATTGTGTGATTATAAACAGCTTCTAATTGTCGAAATTGTTTTAATTTTATTTGCTATAATCACTCTTGATAAAAACAATCTGCATAAACACTTTGATTGACATTCTCCCTTTGCACGTGTCATCAGTGGGGGAAAGCCCCAGCCACTAGTGACCATAGCTGCGTCCCAAATGGCACACTATACACTATGCACTCATGCACTATGTACTTATGCACTTACACACTCAACAGGATAGTATATGTATGTAGTGGCGTCCCAAATGGCACACTTATGGTTTTTTACTAAGCGGAAATTCAAACCGTTTCCCTGATGACGTTTGACGGTTGCCAAATCAGTGACATAAACAACCGAATTATCAAATAATACCTGCCGTGAGTTTAACCACATTCACCATCGGGAGGCGCTATAATCACTCTTGTAGGAGAATTTTGCTTTCACCATCCAAAATAAATAAAGTTATCCAACATGTGCGTCCGATAGCTCCGCCCCTTCCGCTACGTAAGCAAACCTGTGGTCGTTAAGTGCGTGAAGTGTCCATCATTACACACTTCATTTTAGTGGCTGAATGAGTGCATCATCCGGGTAATTAAAGTGCACTTATTATTTTTAGAGTTTTCAGTCTGAACGCACTACTTACACTATTTATACTACAAAATGGCATAGAATAGTGCATAAGTATGCGATTTGGGACGCAGCACATCTCTCTCCCATTAGCATAGGACCTTACTGCAATTGTAGCTCCGCCCTCTTTTGAAAAGAACTCAATCTCAATTGAATTTAAAGCGGAAGTCACCAAAACGCCACAATTAGGATCAAAGCCTAAAAGGGTCAGTTTCAGAAAGTTAAAAACAATATTGATGGTGTATTTAGAGCTGAAACTTCACAAACACACTCTAGGGAGTCTGCCAAAGACCTATTTTACATCTTGTAAAAATGGGCAGAAATGGTATTTTTTATTCCTTACATAAATAATTGCAGGAGACAATGAGAGGTCAAACATGCTGCACGTTAAGAAAACACATGCAAATAGAAAACTGCAAATAGCCCAGAACACAACTGAAAAATATCGGTGACCCCAAAAACCATGAACTAGGCTGTTCTTCCTGTTAGGTGAATAAGTAATCTTACGCTTAAAAGAAAGAGTTTGCTTTTAATAATAAAGAAATAAAAATAATAATAATTAGTACAAAGATAAGTCATTTATAATATAAAAATAAGAATATTCAATTTTGATTTTAGGTTGATTTCAGGTCATTAAGGGTTTAAATGTTTCAGAAAAAACTAAATAACACAAAAATGATCAATATATGAAGATATATACACTTTATATAAAACAAAAAATAACTTGACTTCTAGCCCTCTAGATTACGCTTATTTTACCAAAATAAAATATGATCATGCTTCGATTTTTAATGATTTAATCAGGACAGTAAGGTTTGACTTTGCTTAGATTAAAGTCTTGTCACTGAACAGAAATAATGTCCAGTATAGAATATAAAGTAATGCTGCAGTGGAGACAGAATGAATATTGTGTCTGACTCCATCATGAGCTTGGAGGACTGCATCCATACATCTCTGACATGACACAAATCACTGATTAATAAAGTCATCTGGAATGAAGAAGAAAGGACTCCCAGAGTTCATCAAGATTCTTTATATTCATCTTCAATGCCTCCTCCTTCATCTTACCCCAGACATGCTCAATAATGTTCATCTCTGGTGACTGGGCTGGCCAATCCTGGAGCACCTTGACCTTCTTTGTTTTCAGGAGCTTTGATGTAGAGGCTGAAGTGTGAGAAGGAGCGCTATCCTGCTGGAGAATTTGCCCTGTCCTGTGGTTTGTAATGTATTGGGCAGCACAAATGTCTTGATAGCTCAGGCTGTTGATGTTGCCATTCACCCAATGTATCCCCAAACCATGATCCTTCAAACTTGACTGATTTCTGTGAGAATCTTGTCTCCATGCGGGCTCCAGTAGGTTTTCTCCAGTATTTGTGATGATTGGGATGCAGATCAACAGAAGATTCATCAGAAAAATCCACCTTCTGCCACTTTCCCAAATGATCAACTAGAAGTCAAGTTATTATTTGTTGCTTTTACAACTGGGATCAAGACATGACTTTTGTCAGGTAGTGAACTTGAAGTTTTTACATGTATGAATCACATACCTGTGGGGACCAATCCAGGCAGGTCACCACTCGCTGTTTGGACCAGCGATCATCAACAAACTTCCTATTCAGAGACAGTTTAGTCCCAGCCTGCATCTCACTACAAACAAACACAAGCATCTCCGATTACACAGTGCATATGCAATGCTTGATGATTAGTTTTAGGTGTGTAATGCCGATTATTACCCCTCCTTCTCCTCCATGTCTCGGCCGCTGTAGTCGAAGAAAACATCCACGTGTTCGGACAGAGCGCGCTCCACGATGCGTGTGCTGTGATCGAAAAAGTCCATGAACTCCTCCGAGTGCAGAATCTGTAACTTCTCCTCCTCTGTCAGCTCATGAGGCAGCGCTACACGCATAAACAGACCAGAAACTATGTGTAAATGCATTAAACAAGTGCATTTATACTTTAAAACTGCTGAATTCTGATTCTAATGTCAGCTAAAGTTCTGTGTGCAATTTAATGTATAACTGCATGGCAATTAAAATATGTATACTGCATGGCCTAATATGGCTAGAAACTATACGCTCATTGTGGCGGAGAACACTTTTAGCTTAGCATAAACCATTAAATCGGATTAGACCATTAGCACACCTTTCACAAACATTTCAAAAACAGAGTTTTGATAATTTTCCTATTTAAAGTTCGACTCTTCTGTAGTTACATCATGTACTGAGACCTTTTTCTAGCCCGATATGGCTAAAAACTATACGCTCATTCTGGCGGAGAACACTTTTAGCTTAGCATAAACCATTGAATCGGATTAGACCATTAGCATCTCGCTCAAAAGAAAAAAAAAAAGTTGTTTGATAATTTTCTTATTTAAAGTACGACTCTTCTGTAGATACATCATGTACTGAGACCTTTTTCTAGCCCGATATGGCTAAAAACTATACGCTCATTCTGGCGGAGAACACTTTTAGCTTAGCATAAACCATTGAATCGGATTAGACCATTAGCATCTTTCACAAACATTTCAAAAATAGAGTTTTGATAATTTTTCTATTTAAAGTTTGACTCTTCTGTTGTTACATCATATGCTAAGAGCAGTTTGCATGTCGAGATGGCTAGAAACTAAACTGTAGGAATTTTGCTGCCATACCATTGGCTGCAGCAGGAACATTAACATTATGCAGCGCCTGAAAATAGTTCCTAGCTCGGTAACAGTGCTGTGTAATATTGTTCATGAGAAGTGTCAAGCTTTAAATAGGAAGGGTAACTTTTCTCTTTTAGCGAGATGCTAACGGTCTAATCTGATTTAATAGTGTATGCTAAGCTAAGCTAAAAGTGCTACCGCCAGACCTAAATATTGGCTAAATGGATTTAAAAAAATGCTAAAACACATCTGTTTAACTTTAAGGGAGCTGTAAAATTAGTCCTTTTAGAATGTTCCTTTTAGTAGCTTCATGTTTTTCTAGTCGTTGCAGATTTGAACCATTCAAGAAACTTAATTATTTTAAGCAAAAACTTCTACAACAAAAAAAGATGTGAAATAAAAAACACACAAACTGCGCATGTAGGTAAAAAAAAATTACTTGAATGAATATTAAAAATGTAATGGTGGTTATACATCCATGGCTTGAACTAAAATGCGCTAACCTGCACACATTGAACTTTCAACAATTCAATAGTCTGCTGCCAATGATTTAAGTTAGTGAAGTTGTTTTTAAACATCAGAGCTTAGTGACAAAAACTGCAAATATTCATAAGACATTCATCCACAAAGAGTTAAGAGTGACATAATACCTTCCTCCACTTGTTTCTCCTCTGGTTTCTCCTTCTCGGTCTCAGCTTCTGGCTGTGCTGCTGGAGTCTCTTCCTCTTCATCTTCCTCTGCACACAGAATAAAAGATGATCACACACATTAATTTGACAATAGAGAATTAAAGAGTGATGTTTACATACATAAAGGAGTCAAATAAATGTAATGCTGCATAAAGGGATAGTTCACCCAAAAATGCAATTTCTTGTAAACCTTTAATTCTTTCAAACCTGTTTGAAAATTAAAATAAAATAAAAATAATTGCTGTTAAAAAAAACATCTGCAAATATAATCTGATGTGAACACCAATATGGGGCATTTTGTCTATCTATAGTAGGTAAAAGTGGGTAAATTGACACTTTTTCTACTATACAGCAACTAAACATTAAGCAGCAGTTTCTGTTAAAGAAAGAAAAATAAAGTGCTGTATTTTAATTAGTATCTTGGTGTCTAGGAAGCTTAAGTAACATCGTAACACTCTTCTTTTTAATTATGTATTATCAGCACGGCATTTACATATCAACACCTATTCAGTGATAAACAACTTGGCCTCAGGACAATGTAAACTATGCGCCGGGAAATCAACCAACCATAATAGAGCTCATTAACATATTTAAATTCACAAGTGCGTATTTAACCGTGGAAGTCGTACCGTGCGGTTCAATATTATATTGAGAACCGTGGCATATTCAGCAAAAGAGAGGGCATTCATTTTCAATGAAGATTAAAGGAGGCAGTAATGTTATAGGCTCCGTTTTGTTATAAATATGCATACAGTGAAGATGACGTGGCGAGGCCGTGGCGCAGTAGGTAGTGCTGTTGCCTCACAGCAAGAAGGTCGCTGGTTTGCATGTTCTCCCTGCGTTCGCGTGGGTTTCCTCCGGGTGCTCCGGTTTCCCCTACAGTCCAAAGACATGCGGTACAGGTGAATTGGGCAGGCTAAATTGTCCGTAGTGTACAAGTGTGTGTGTGGATGTTTCCCAGAGATGGGTTGCGGCTGGAAGGGCATCCGCTGCGTAAAAACTTGCTGGATAAGTTGGCGGTTCATTCCACTGTGGCGACCCCGGATTAATAAAGGGACTAAGCCGACAAGACAATGAATGAATGAATGAATGAAGATGACGCTCATATTAATAAGCAGCCACACGACGCCTCCACATTTCTGCTGTCTGTTAAGTTGCTAATATCAAAATGAAAATAGGCAGCTCCTCATATCATGTCTTCATTTTATTGTTAAGATGAAACAACGTAGCCTGCAGGATGATGCGAATTGTGTTATAAAGTACACTGTTCCCTTTGAAGATTTACCCGACGTGTCCTCAGGAGTTTGTTTTCCATATCAAACCTGCAAAGTCTGAACTTACAAGGAGAGGATGCAGGACTGAGCTGTGTGTAGGCTATTTCATATTGAAGAAAAAGCCCCAACCAGATAGGCGGACTGCTGCAGCCCCGCCTTGTTTTCAGATGTCTCTGTTTTCCCCCATCCACACTGAGGGCCTACTCACACTATGCTATCCGAACCGTGCCCAGGCCCGTTTCCCTGATTGTTTGAAAAGTGTAAGATCGCTAAATCGGGCTCAGGCGCGGTTCACTTGGGCTTTGGCACAGTACGCTTGTGTGAGAGTGCAAAACGCGCCAAAGCCCGAAACTGAAAGCGAGACGTGACTTTTAAGGGACTGTTTCATCTGGATTTATTCATCAATCTTACTTTTCAGTGAACGCAAACTGCCGCAGTTTATTAAAGACGCAAACCCCTCACTGTACGACAGCTGCACCTTCAGCAAACCTCCTAATTCCTGCAGCACGATGACTTTATGATTGTTTATGAGTGTCAAAAGTGGCTGTTCGGCAAAGTATCTGACTGCGTATCACCGCATCCTAAATGATATAACTGAAGAAATCCCCACTGTGCTGAGCAAGAGTGCTTCTGACCACGTAATGTGAGTGCGGGCCGTCGGGCGAGACGGGAGGGGGGACAAGCATGCTTTGGCCCGGTTCAAGGCAACTGTACATAGCGTGAGTACATCCTGAGATGGAGCAGCAGCGTTACAGAATGAAAACGGCCTCTTTAGGGTTTACAAAATGCTCCGTTTTCAGCGATCTAAAACTCCGACGTAGTGTGGACGGATGGCATAACCATAGCAAAACTTGCGCATTTTAAAACTAAACCGTATTAGTGTAAAGGGAGCCTCGCTCTCCTCGCACCATGTCACCAGATGTTCTAAGTCCTCAAAGTAGACCCTCTCTAGCTCCTCCTTAACTATCTTCTTTGGGTTATGAATAAAATATGGTAATTCTAATAGTTTAATTTATTTGAGTTTTGGAAATTACCAAGCGACCCCTCGTCATTTTCTTGCGACCCCCACTTTGGGAACCACTGGAATAGGGCATAAGGGGGAGAACTGGGAATAGAACACAACCAGGAACTCTGCTTCTAACTACAGCTCTAGAGGTGAAGTTGGAAACCTACAAGTTTGCCACGCAGTTTGCGAATGTTCATTGGAACGATGGATTTGGGAAACGCCAAATCAATGAACTTTTGTAATGATGGAACTTGAGATCTTAGTTGGCCAGCCATAATTTTCGGAAATGCACCCCAGATTGGGTAGCAATACATTGAGGAAAATTAAGACCGGTTTAAAAAAGATTGAAGACCTACAACACAATATTTTAATAAATTTGAGACTTTTTAAAACATTTTGATTTTGAGATTTAAGACCTTTTAAGACCCTGCGGACACCCTGAAAAGTGGAAAAAGCAAAGTAAATGGACTGATTAATGAAGAAATTGTGACAAGTCCAAGTCTGCAGACAGCCTGTTTATTCCATTGAGATGCCCAAAAACAGCCTGAAGTGTGTTTGAACACTGCATCTACATCCCAGAGTGTGTCCTCTCGCCAAACTACAGGGGGCTTCGCCATTGAAGAGGTCTTAACCTACAGCCCGTCCAACAGACTCCTGGCGTAATTGAGACAGGGACTCTATTGAGCAGCGCATCCCACACACACACTCACACACACGCAGGGCAGCAGGTGCCAGCGGCTCAGACAGCTGACGGCTGCGAGTGTGTGTCAGGCAGATGGTTCTGTGTGTGTGTGTGTGGTGGCACAGGGATGGCACAGGGGTTTCTGCCTGACCGCTCTTAGTCAAGACTCTCTCCGGATACACAAGTCCGTGCAATTAGAGAGTCGGCAGGGGGTCCAGGGACCGCTATTCACCCCCAAACATGAGCAGCTAAATGAAGCCACTGCCCGGACCAGCTGTAAGCCACACACACAGATACACACACACACACACACACACACACACACAGAGCTCATCGCCTTCAATGTTATATAAAGGCCTCAATGTTATATAAAGGCCTCAATGTTATATAAAGGGAAGGAGGCCAAGTTTATCGAACTCCAAAATGGAAAATAGTAGGGATGTGTTTGTTGTAGGCTGTAGTGATGGTGGCGTAACAATTGTTGATTGTTTTTCTTTCTCATAATGAATATGATCCCAACTTAAAATACACAAAAAAAATAATAAATAAAAATCTACTGACTGGCCACTTTATTAGGTACACCTGTACGACTGCTCGTTAATGCAAATTTCTAATCAGCCAATCACATGGGTGAAACTCAAAGCATTTAGGCATGTAGACATGGTCAAGACTTACAAAGAGACAATATCCAGTGAGTGGCAGTTCTGTAGGCGCAAATTATGCCAGAGGTCAGAGGAGAATGGCCAGACTGGTTCCAGCTGATAGAAAGGCAACAGTAACTCAAATACACCACTTGTTACAACCGAGGTCTGCAGAAGAGCATCTCTGAACGCACAAAATGTCCAACCTTGGGGCGGATGGGCTACAGCAGCAAGTTTCTTGAACATGACAATGAGTTTACTGTCCTCGAATGGCCTCCAGTCACCAGATCTCAATCCAATAAAGCACCTTTGGGAGGTGGTGGGACAGGAGGTTTGCATCATGGATGTGCAGTAAGGTTGGGTTGATAAACGATGCAATCGTTCATCGCGGATGGCCGACAGACATCACGATGCTGGGCTCCGCCTCCATCGTGAACTTCAACTTGCTCGTGAAAAATACACACTTAGACCCCGTTTATACGAACACATAATAGTTTTAAAAATGGTATTTTAGAACGAAAACGATCCACGTCTACACTGGCGTTTCACCTAGCATTTCTGAAAAGCCCTTCTTCCACACTATAGAGCTGAAAACGCACATCACGTGACCCCACACACACACACTCTGTCATAGCGTATGTGTGCGTCTGAGCTCCAGCAGTCAGCGAGTGCTTTGAGTACAAAACCCCAGAGAGCAGTGCATGTCGGACAGTTTATCAAGGATGTACCGCTGGATGGCGTCTCACTATACTGTAGTTGTTAAACGTGATATTTAATTAATCTTGTCTCTATCTAATGACTCTTCTGTCTTTTGAATCTATTAGGTAACGTGTCACAGCGTCAGTACACTGCTTCAATCTTTCGCTTTCACGCTTGTACTTAGTAATTTCAGCAGTACTCAGTTACTGTTGGTTGGCTCATGTCGTGCAGCTTTTTTTACCAACCAATTTGTCGGCGCCATTATAATGACACAGATCACCCTGCCTATTCATGCCAGAGTCCCATGGAAAAAGTGATTGACAGGTGGTGATTTGTGTGTAACTAATATTTATTTATTTATGATTTGGTTATGGGTAAAACAAAGACCAAGCGGGTCAGGTAGTTGAAATAGGCCAGTAGCCTACAAATAATTAATTTGTTATCAAACGATGGCAAATTGGTTCACATACACAGGGACATTGGAGTGTTTTAAAGCAGCCATTCATCAGAAGATCGCTCGTATGTCAGCTTGTAGACAAACCAGCTAATCGAAATGCGCCAGTGTCTCTGTATCTGTGGTTACACTCAGTAAACGGCAGTGAGTTTGGTAAACTGATGACCTTTATGGCCAATAGCAGTCATTTCTGTTGAGCACGTGAACACAATAGGCAATCTGCTGTGTTTAAGAACAAGGTCCACGGGAAATGGAAGTTTTTTAAAATTTCAGTACCGATTGATATTGAATT